AAAAAAAAAAAAAGCTAAACTTATGTTTCCTTTATGATGTCTACATTTTGGTCAATTCTCCCAAAGTCATAGCAAAACTGTAAAGGTTATTAGTAGCCAGAAATATGATTATTAGATCATCTTTCCTAAATTGATTTTTGTGAACCTGAGAAGGTAATTTTTTAAAATAAAAATTATGTCTGACACAACTAATGATTGTGTTACCAATCAGTTGCTAGTTAGCAGGGGGAAAAACAAGAGTACAAAATCCATGGTCTTCTCCCTGTTATGAATTACAGCTCATATTACTTAGCGTGATTAGTAATGGGAATGCAGTGGTGGGTTTCAGATCCAGGTGCAACTGGGCCAGGCATCCACCACATACATGCGTGCAGCACGCACGCAGCGCATGCATGCATATTTACCATTCACAACCCTCCAGCTGCTGCTTTGGAGTGTTGCGCAGGTGCCGTACGCTCTGTGCGTGGAAGCCCTGATCAGCTCAAATACCGGTAAGGAAGAAAGGTGGGCCCTCCAGAGGACCGTACCAGAATGGTACCTGATGCTCCCAGCAGGCACCGGCATGCCCGTACTGGGGTAAACCACTTGTATCCCACCACTGTGGGAATGCCAAAAGTTGTATTCAGTGGTATCTGAATAATTGGCATAAGCACTGTAGTAAATAATTGCCTGTTTAAAAATATATTTATTTCATTTTATATAGCTGCTAATCTTGTGAAAATGACTCTGCTAGGTAACAACTGTTAAAACTAGCAAGAACATAAAATAAATATGTAACTGGCAGCTGAGATAAAACAACAGACAATAAACACATTCACTTCACAGGCAAACATCTTTTCTTGAAAGATAACGTTACAAAAATAATTTGGTTTAAAATATGTTTTTGATGTATTTCAGTAACATAACTTTAATATATTTATTTTTAAGCAGTGAAACCAAGAGATGAAAGCAGTAAGATTTTATTCACATATTTAATAAGGAGCAAACCATATTAAACTCAATAGAACCTACATTTCTGATTCCATAATCCATTTATTAATATGAAAGATTTACAAATTAGAATTTCTATCAAGATGCACAAAATTACTGTTTCACTGATAAAATATTTAAATATATGCTACATATTTGGAGAAGAGAATAAATTATGTGTCCATACCTTCAATGCACTTAATTATTTTGCAAACATTTCCTTGATATTTATAGGGATCTTTTTGTATTGTTTCAGATTATTGCAAAGGTTAGTGTAGATAATAGAACTCGGGCTTTAACTCAAGCATTGCGAAGATTGTCTACTAGAAGAGTCTGTATCAACAGAGTTGAAGAACTGACATATCATCTGCTGGAATTTCCAGATAGTAGAGGCATCGCCATTAAGGTAATACCGTATATACTCGAGTATAAGCCGACCCGAATATAAGCCGAGGCACC